AACTGTTTTTTTCTTCTTTAGCATCTCATACAATTGAACGTTCGCTATACACAAATTTTTTATTCATATATTATAAATTCAGATAATCACATTTGCCGTTTTTAGTTATTGTATATAATAAGTTTACCATAATATGGGGAAAAAAAATTAAAAAAAATAATGTTTTAAGGTTACTCAAAGGCAAGACTGAATAATGAAAAAACTGAACTCAATCAAATGTGCATGACTTAAGAAAAAAAAAAAAACGAATGATATTATAAAAGACAAAAAATATGGGTAGAACTTAACAAATTCGTTCGTATTACAAATATGGAAAAATATATTACAGACACTGCAATACAAATATGGAAAATCAGAGACTGCTGCTTTACTTCTGTGGTTGAAAGTGCTGCTTGATTTTAGTAACAAATCTAGCTCCTGCAAAATAGCAATAAACAATCATCAGTCCAGGAAAAATAACATTTTTTTTTTATTAAAATGATAATGATAATCGTAGAACTCTTAGACTAGAAACAGCAACACGAACTCCTAACTAGGGGTGTAAATGAGTCGAGAGGCTCGAAACTAACTTGAGCCGTTTAACAATATTAACAAACCGAGCTCGAGCCTTAACGAGCCAAACTCAAGATTTAATGAGCCAAGAGCTATACAAAATTACATAGAAATTTAATGTTTCAAACCTTAACAAGCCAAACTCATCATCTCACGAGTATCTCGTTTCATTTCGCTTAAAAACTCTACTCCCAACTATCATCCGATTCTTTTCTACAAGTAGCAAAATTTTATTCAGGAACTGCAAGGTTCGACTATTGCTTATAAATTGTAATACCTCAAGTGTCTTGCATCTAATTCCAAGATAGTTGGATTTTTTCTGTAACTACTAACTAGCTTAAACCTCAAGAATTGATTCTGTCTAGTTACCAATAAAATAAGCCACGCAAACCACATAGATCACAATACAAACAAAAACATTGAAACAGAAATGAATGAATGCATAGAGGCGCTACCGAGGTATTCTCTTCAATTCCATAGCCACCTTGACCGAGGCCTCGGCAATATTTTTCATGCTTGAGCCCCTAAGACTCGAAACAACCGCATCAATTTTTGCCAGCTCGGACACACTGATCGACAGAATCATGGTGTGCGAAACATAATACCGACTAGAAAAGCCAATTGCATGCAGAACTCGTTCAACCACCAAGTTCGAGATATCACCACCGCCTTGACCATTCTCAAGCACCACAGGCACCTTATAAAGACTCATGAAGAAATTCATTGTTGCTTCTTTTGGAGCAGCTTGAAACAGCAAAACCAAACACTCGGAGGCCAAATCCAGTACATTAGCCTCGCTCGATTTACATAGTTCCAGAAAAACACCAACATTGGCGCCAAAGTCAGGGATATCTTTTATGCCCAGATCAGAAGATATTTCCATAGAGCCATCATTTAGTAGGGCCGGCTGCTTTGAGTAGACAAACTTAGCCTTGCAGCTCAAAGCACGTAAAAGGAAAGCCCTGCACAGGCCGAGTGTTGGCTCGATAAAATCCTCCATCTCCTTCGCGTGCACGAATTCCAAAAGATTTCCGATTTTTCTCACCACTTTTAACTGGGAAATTATTTTGGTATCCAGTTCTGGGGCAGATACTAAAGCCAGGCAAAGCATCACATTGCTCACGTTTATAGTCGATAAATCGCCCAGTAGAAAATCGAAGCACTGTGAGACGGCCTTCATGTGAAGAATGTCGGAGATTTTGATGTAATCAGACTCAATGAGCATTACAAGCAGTTTCTGAGCGTACATGGGAATCGGGTCTTCATCTTCGATCAAAGAAGGGTAGAGAGGGAGGAAATTAACATTTGAAACTGATTTTAAATCTTGCAGCCTTTGGTCATCTTCTAAGGGCTCAGTCAGAAAAAGAACCATGATGTCGAATAAAATTTTCAAGCACAAAAATCGAGCATCTCCATCTTTGTTTCCCTTGTAAAGAGCAGTTAGACTAGGCAGGACTTGGCGAATGAAGATTGTGGGATTATTGTTGACTACCGTTGGCTCCTCTGAGATTGATTCCAATACACGGAGAAGGGTTATCTGGAAATCATCCCTTCCCTAAAATCAAACAATACAGTAGAAAGCATTGAGTAATCAGTTCTGGTTGGGTATTATTAAGTTGGTAAAACCAAATTTTTTGTTGATAAATGTAGGAGCCATCATAGGAAGAAAAGCCAAGACAGTCTTTTATAATTAAATGATTCTATCAATGTACGGATGCATCAAACATTTTATAACTGAATACTTTACTTGAAGATGTACATTGTAAAATTTTATCAAGGATTTTGAAACAAGCATGGTCTTCCTTTCAAAAGAAGAATAAACTGAAATGAGTGTTGGAACTAAATGTAAATCATAAATAGCAAGAAAATCCCTTCTTATGTGATAATTCCTTTTTTATGCTATGAAAGGTACTGTACAGCTGAAAATCATCCAGAATAAGAAATTGGAAGAGTTCACTTAGATTAACAGGAAGTGAGATGCACTTACATTAACAAAGTAAGGTATTCTGTAGTAAATTCATTGACAAATGATCTCAAGAATGCCAAGACAAAACTAAATAGACCTCGAAAACTTGAAAGTGATGATACAAAACTGTAATTTTCCAAAAATCCACTTTTGTCCATATATTAGATAGTTAAAAACCTGCAACTAATATGACTATTGTCGGATATGATTGAGCTTGGGTCTTATAATCTGTTCTTCCATTATCAAAAAAGAAACAAAAAATCCAACAGTAACAGCAACAATTTATAAACAATATTCTACAGTAGCCCGAAGAAGTTTATAAGCAGATCAAGATGGCACACGAGTTTCCAGATATATACCTGGAAAGGCAACTCTGCCAATTTAAGAAGATTAGCCACCAGCTGTAGAACCTGAGGAGTCACTACCGAATTCTTGAATGAAGAGCTCCCTACAAGATGGAGAACCACAGGAAAGAAATGAATACTGTTTTTTGGGGAGTTTCGGCTATTGTGACCTCCAATCTGCCCATGACGTCTCCCTCCTGCTAGTAGCTGAATATCTCCAGTTATAGTTTCCAGAAGACCCGGTAAAGTTGACACCACAGCATGAACAAATGCAGCCAGACAATGCTGCACATATTTATCTTTATCTTTTGCAAGCCTATCCACTGCCGATAAGAATCTTGCATTGCAAAAGAATTGAGAGAGACATCGCTTCCCATTTTTACTTAGTAAGGCCACAAAAAGGAGAGCCTTTCCCCTGAGTACCTCACTACCGTGCTCGATAAGGGACAGGAGATTCGAAACAAGATTCTTATCTTCCATTACTGGAAGAAGGTGACGCCCGACATTTGTCAGCAAGTGGGTCGCATGAAGAGCCAAGTTTAGAAGGTTCAAGCAGATTTGCTGCTCTCGTTGGTTGCCCTTAAAAAGACTTGAGGTGATGTCCTTAAGCGGAAGTTTCTCGATAACCTGCTGCATGCTAGGTGGGTTGAAACGAGCCAGACGAACCAAACATGACCCAGCAGTAAGCCTCATGGAATCTTGTTTTCCTGGAGCCCTGAATATGTAACAAAGGTTGCTAATTACGTCTTGGCTAGTAAAACGGGTGGCCCAATATCCTCCATGACTAGATATGTTCTCTATTGTTCTTAAAGCATAAAGCTGGGTGAGGTCATCCTCCCCTCTCCGTAAAACGGATGAGATCAAAGAGATTAATGCATTAGGGACCTGACAAAAGGTAGAGAAACTAGCATTTCAGACTCCGTCAATATAAAACATAGTAAAGGTGATAACTGTAAACATAAGATCAGGCAAAGCAAGAATTATACAAAATCATAGTTCTAGGGAACTTGTTCCAGATACCATGGCTATGCTGAAAAAAGCTAACCTGCCAGCTGGAAGAGGGTCGGCTGTCTTTAGATGGAGACTCCTGAGGATTATTATCCCTAGCAGGATCGCTTAGAGTAGATATGTAAAAGATCAACTCACCCATGGCAGCCATAGAAAACCTTCTCACTTTTTCCTGTCTGTCTCTGAGGCCATCAGTTAGAGCACCTAAAATTCCAGAATTTGCCAAATCATCTCCAATGAAAGTTGAATGGCGAATCAACAGTCCTATAAGAGAAGATAGCTGCACACGCAGAGCCAAAGCCTTAGACTGCCTCAGCATTTTGATGAGAACTAGCATTATTGGCCCATTGGTCAAAATATTGGCAGCATCAGCATTAGTGCTTAACATCTCAAGGTACCTAATCACATTCTGCTTGTCGCCATTAATGTTCCCATTCATGATACTAGCAATTCTACTGTATATAACATCCAATCTATCCTTGGGCAATTTTGCAAAATCTGGTGGGGGAAAGGTGTGGAATGGGAGGGAAGGAATTGCATCTGATCCTTTCTCAAATTTTCTGCTCGGCATTACTGGCCTAACTGAGAGATCAGATGGATGCCATAGCACATCTGCGAGGTCTGAAGATGATTTTGTTGCATCAAAGTCGAGGGCTCGCCCAGAAACTTCTTTGTTCCTTGGAGTCTTCAATTGTGGACTAGCACTAGTAGGAGTGACTGCTGCTGGACTCACTTCCACATGTTCTGAAGATGATTCTTGTTCATGTGGTTTTGAATCATCATGTATAGGTGTCTCCACCACATTTGATGTGCCTGGCTGGTTTGATACACTGTCGGTGTCTTCAAGTTTTCCCTCATGCTTATTTGGAGTTGATAAATTATCCTCCATGGTGGAGGCATTTTCAGACCCTTCGGTTTCATCATTTCCATCATCTTCTGTGTTCTCGTTAAAATCAAGCTCCATGTCATTGTTTTCAATTTTGATTTCTGCATCATTCTTGGTGCTATTTGGTAAAGGCCTTCTGTAATTCTCCTTCTCATTTTCCCTTTGCAGGTTAGATTTAGCAATTCTTGAAAGCCTTAGGAGATTCAAGCCGCCCGTATTAGTAGAACCATCTTTGTGCTTTCCTTCAGGTATTCTGCTTGAAGGTTTTGTCTGGGCTTTACGGCCACTATATACACCACCCTTGATAGGTGTTCCTTCTCTTACTTCAGAACCAGAATTCTCATCTTGTTTTCTTGGTGCTTTTGAATCTTTTCCACAAGTGTTAGGTGGGGTCTTGTTCCGAAGAGGTCTATCTCCATGGCGCTCAGAAAGACGTGGTTCCAAAAGCATCTCAATCATGTTAGTGAAAGCAGGCTGAGGAGGTAATGTCAGCGGCACAATTTTTGTTTTCCAAAAAGCATGATTGCAAAGTTCAGGCCACTGTATCCTTTCAGACGGGTCCTTTACCAAGAGCGAATTTATCAAATTTACAAATGGACGAGTTGGAGTTCCAGGTAGAGTAGGAGTCGCATCTGAAAGAATTAATTTTGCCAACTGAGTGAATTCCTTGTCAACAAATGGAGGCCTGCCGGTATAGCACTCATACAACACACAACCAAGAGCCCAGAAATCAGAGGCATACGAATGAATTCCTCCATCTTGGAACAATTCTGGAGCCATGTAACAAGGAGTTCCACGTTTTGCTTGTGGTAACTAGGCATAAAGTGTAAGTGTAAGTAGAAAAACTTTACAGAATAGTGGAATATTAAGACTAATGTAATATATAGACAGAAGCAAATGACAATTTCATTGTAAAAAACGAAAAAAATCCAGATGAGAAGATATTATAGCTTGAGATCCTACCTGGGAAGACGATGTCATGGATATATCACTAAGTTTTCTCGCTAGTCCAAAGTCGCATAGCTGCAGTAGGGCACAAAATGAGAAGCTTTTTCTCAGATTTCAATACACGAAATGATCAATGTGGGGGAGGAAGAACACTATACCTTTGTACGTCCATTTTCATCAAGCAAAATGTTTGATGGCTTTAAGTCACAGTAAATAATTCCCCTTGAATGCAAGTACCTGTTTAGGAGGCCATGATTAATTAGAATAACAGTTCCAATCACCAAAAAAGGAAGTCAATCACAACTCTGATACTTACTGAAGAGCTTTAACAAGGTCAAGAGCCAAATCATGTACAGAATCTTCCGGAAGCTTACCATCCTGTCATTCAGGCGGTAAAGGCAGATTAAGAAACCATGAGAAATCAGTAACAATTTCAACAAATAAAATTTATTAGCAATCATAATTTATGCAAACAAACTATCAAACTGAAATTATTCAGCAAAATTCAAACATGACTACATGAGGGCTTAGGTTTGTCCCTAACAATCTGTAGTGTGGTTACTTACTCATTTAAAAAAAAAAAA